TCACATTTCTAGAAGTCTTAGCCTGGAAATGGAGTGCCTACTAAATACAGATTTTCAAGCACAAAATCTGTAAAGCTTTGTGTGTTTGATGCCTAACAGGTTAAAGAAAATCGAGAAAGAAGAACAAAAGAAAGAGAAAAACAGCTCAGAGAAAAACAGAGACAAAAAGATGCTCACTATCAGGCTCAGCAAATTGTGTTGAAAGAAGAACGAGACAAAGCACTGAAGAACAAGAAAGAAGACTCTCTTATTCAACAGGAGATGACCAAAATAAGAAAAGAAATGGAAGAACAGAGACAACTAACAGAGGAAGCAAAACGAAGGTAATGTTTAGAATGAATATGTAACGATGAATCAAACAACTATAAACATGATGCATTTACAAAACTCTCTGATGGCCACTTCTGAAATTCCCTTGTTCATACAAATTAAGCGATATAGTTAGTCATCTAATTTTAGTATTTTTTAGATTTCATATTTTATTTTAAACACTAATAAAAAATGTATTTTTAGAAACTTGTAGTTAGGTAGGTAGGTAGTTTTGTTGTTTTTTTGAATCAGCTGACGGGGCCATATCTAATAACTAATTAATTTGAACTATTATTGAACTATTATTAGCTTAGTTCCTTTTGGACTAATTTTTGCACTGTATCCCCAACCAGTCCTATGTGAAGAGGCTTATTTTTTCAGCGTTAGAAAGCAATCAAACATATTCGCTTGATGATATCTGAGGCTATAAATTTTGTTTTTTCAAAGACAAGAACTGTGACATTTACATGTATGTCTTGTTTTGCTCCAGGGAGCGAGAGAGTAAAGAAGCAGAGAGAGAAAAGATGAGATTAAAACGTGAAAGACAACAGATGGATATGGAAATGAAACGGATACAGTCACAAAGAATGGCAGAAAAAGAACACACTGAAATGAAAATCAGACTCGAAGAATTAAAGGCACAGAAAGCAGCAGAAGACATAAAGGTAATTTGTAATTTATACATTTACAAACAGCATGTGCATAAATGGGTTTTCATTTACTAACCAATCCTAACTAACCAATTCTAGTCATGTAACAATCTTGAGACATGCATAACAAGCCAGCAATGTTGCTGTTTGGAACAATATGGCGTGACAGTAAATATCAAATAGTTTTGGTGAGGTGGTAAGTCATTTTTGTGACATGGGTAACAAAGAATCACAATAGATTCACACTGATTATGTTGCTTTATATATCGAAAAAAAATTAAAATGTTTTTTTTTTATACTATTAAACTGAAAGGTATACACTATATCTAAAATATAGGGGAATGTAGGAAAATCAGTTGTTATACTTAAGAGGATGTTAATTATTCTATATTTAATATAAAATGTCTGAGGTCTGAAGGAGAATAATTATTCCCAAAAATTTGAAATATACATGTTGCATTAACCAATAAAATCACAATTTATATTTTCAAGTGAATTTTGACGCCTCCAAATATTAGATAAGCTATTATTTTTTATATGTCTAGCAAAATTTTTCAAAAATACATACAGTTTTCCAACAATCTCCTACATGCTCATGGACTAAATATGATGATTAGGAGAGTGAAATCTTTGTAGCTCTGCCATTAAAAAATCATCATAAGTGAGAGTGTGATATTTAGCTCTTGCATGTATTGATTTAGACATGTGATGAATAAGTGATGGTGATCACTCGTCTTAGAAAGTAACATCTGTTTATAGAAACACTGTTACAGTAGTCAAATAGACATGTTATTGAATAATGTTTACATTTCTTTTGTCATTACAGTCCTTGCAAAGACATTTCTCAGCCTGGTATAAATTAATTGTCAATAGAAGACTACAGATGGGTAAGGCAAGGGCACTAGGAGATTGGCGATGTCTTGTCAGATCCTGGAATGGGTGGAGGGCTTATGTTAGGCATAAACAGATGAAACGAGAAGAACGGGAAACACATCTATATCTTCAACAGTCTCATAGGTAAGCCTTTATGACAAAATACTCGCATATGAACATGGATTTGTTTCACAATCCAATTCAAGATGCCCGAATGACAGCCATTTTAAGGGCAAATGTGCATGAAAATCACTCATATTCATTCTAAACTAAATCTCAGTGAAGACAGTTTTGGTTTTAATTTTGTACATGCACTTCCTGATCCATATATATTCCTGACATGCTTGAACCAATCAAGTTTAAACTTTACATATCATATGTACATACAGAATAGATCAATCAAAATAAATAATGCAACATTATCAATCTTTTGTGGAACCATATTTCAGGTATTCATTGATGGATTTGGATCAAATCTGTTGCATACCAGAATGTTTTTTCTGAGCAGTTAAAATGTAAACATGCACTCAAATATATTTAGTTATTTCAAGGTACATGCATCTTTTCCTCCTAGGAATAATATACTATCAGTTGAACACTACCGACACAATGTTTTGAAGAAATGCTTTTCAGCTTGGCAGCTGTTTGTACTTCAAGAGAGGCAGGACAGGGAGTTAACAGAAAGAAAACATGAAACAAGGAACAAAATGGATGCATTTCTAGCAGCAGCAGCCTCTGGGAAACTATGGTCTAATAGGGGTGATGGAGACAAACTGGTTGTGGATGATGTTGAAACAAATAACAGTGCTTCTCATAGGCCAGATTCAACAAGGCGAAAACTTGTAAGTAAATACCATTTAATTTGGTTCCTACTGCTTCACAGATTAGGAAGGTAGAAATCATCTTTTTTAATTGTGGAGAATTTCCCTGATGTTTACATTTCTGTCCATGATGACTGCTTTGAAATATTTTATTTTATAGTGGATCCTAATATCAAATTAGTCATAACCATTAAAAATGACATACACCTCATTAGGACACATGAAATCTGTTATAGTGAAGTGTTCACTATATAAAGCACATAATACGTTGGGTTTGTTCTGAGCAGGAGACAAGCATTGTGTTCATTATATCAGAAAATTCATTTCAAGGTGTTCATTATAAAAATGTTACAAAGTAATTAGTAAAATAGCCCAGATTAGTGTACATTACCTGTATACAGCATCAAAATGAATGTAAATATCATATTTATATCTGCATTAAAATTTGTTCAGTTGAGTCATTCAACTGAGACCAAACCGATTGTGAATCGTTAAACTTGCTGACCACTATAAGCATTTTCCCAGCTGTCTCTTTACTCAATCACACAATTTTATACTAATTTGCATTTTTCAATCACACTTGCATGCATCCAGAATAACTTTTTTGACAGGAGTGAATTGTCTGCCAAACAAGTGTGTGTATCACCATAGCGCCATCTATGGCCATACTTATGTCTGTTTTGTTATTTTGTTTTTAAGGATGCATTGTTTGATCAGCCTGTACGAAAACCTCAGTCACATTCCATTCCAAGTACTTCCAGGAGTGACCTCTCCATTCCAGACTCTCATCCAAGAAGGCCAGAAACG